TTTTCAGTTAAATGCACAGGCAGCACAAGCGGCTCATCACGAGGCCATTCAAAGACAATTACTAGAACGAGAGAGGTTCGGTGCCTCTAGCCATTCTCATCTACCGCATTGATAAATTTATTCATTCATTCATTTCTTCAATCATTCATTCATTCATTCATTCATTCATTTATTTTGTGGTGCAATTTGGACTTCTAGAATATTATCCTAAATACAGGACCTATATTCAGACAATCGTGAAAAATTTCATTCATTCCTCTCTCTCTTTGATCATTCATTCATTCATTCATTCATCATCCCTTCAGTAACTCATTTTGGTGATGATTAGTGTGGTGCAGAAAAGTGAAAAATGTATGAGGTATTCGTCTGTGGAATTTCTTTGTGGTTCAAAGAAGGTGAAAAATTGAATGAAATTTAATTGTGGTGCAAATATAGAAACTATGTCAAAATTGTGTGTGACCTAGATCCATTCTAAAGGAAGATACTGGTCTTCTCATGTTGGATATGGAAGAAAATTCACATGAATGTGGATAATCCATTTTATTCTCAGTTTAGAAGTTCAGTTATTGTTGGTTGTTACTGAGCCAATCAATAGAGAGGATTACCGGTCAAAGTTCATGACTCAACTTTTGATTGGATGTTACCCAACCAATGAGTGAAAAGGAATAACAGGTCAAAGTTCAAAGGTGTATATGTAATTGGCTGTTATCTATCCAATCAGTGAAAAGGATTAAATGGCAAAGCTCAAAAATCAAACAACCAATCATTGTAAAGACGGTGAAACACCTAATTCTGATTGGATGTTAACCTCAGTTGAAGTTGTGATTGGATATTGGTCAACCAATCAGTGCAAAGGATTTTGGGTTTGATTTATGTTCAACTGCGATAAGTTAGTGAGTATGAAGGAGTTAAGACTGAAATCTGGATTGTGATTGGATAGTAATTAACCAATCAATATAAAGGATGAAATATATCGGTGATATTGGAATATTGTGAAGTGTTAATTAAGTGCTATAGAAACAACAATGTTGCAATAATAACGTTAATTTATTGCGTGTTGGAAACGTTTTGTATTCAAAATAATTTGATCCAATGAATTAAATTGGATGTTGAAAACAATATTTGCGTGAAACTGAAATCTTGAGAGATTTCGTGACATTTTGAGTGCAATGTGTTCATTATTAAAAATTAATTTAAAAACCTGATTAACACGAGTAGGTGGAATTAAAACATGACTAGAATGCGTTATTTTATCATGCAAATAATTCAGACGTTCATCGTTTTATAGACTGGAACAATTTCATTAATTTGTGAAAAGTATTTCAAACAGATCTGTTAAAGTATTGTGAATCAAGTTTGAGTGTTCATATGAACGCGTGTTCACTGGTCAAAAAGCATTTTCTATCCATGAACCTCTGAATTTTGTGAATATTTTGTGTGTGAATTGTAAGATTATGTGGTTACAGTCTCTATGTGTGTGCTATTTATACTTTTGTACAGTCCTTTTTATTCCCCTTTTCTCTGGACGTTGTTCAGAAACTTGAAATGGCATTAGGTTCACAGAATTTTTGAGAAATAATGTTTTTTTCAACTGTTTTATACCCAAACTCTGAATTATGTTCTTATGATTCTTGGCATTATACAACCTATGATCTCAACCAAACTAATTTCTAGAAATTTGATTGGTTAGATAGTTCTAGTACCAACGAACACCTGTGAGTTTTGATTGGTTACATCTACTGTTTGGTAGGGGTCATTTCAAAAAAAGCATCTGTTAAGAATTGTCATATAATAAATAATATTTTTGGGGTATTTTTGATAATTAAAATTCCAGATACAAATAGTTGAAAATCAGAAACTTTTCATTAAAGAATAATACAAAATTTGTTGAAGTTAGAATCTATTAGAAATATCATCAAAGTTTATTCAGTCTTCATTCTTCTTCACATTTCATAGACTTTATCCCGGTTGATTAGGAAATAGCTCGAAAAACAAAACATGTAGCAGGGCATGCAAAAAAATACTAGCATGATTCTTACCTCCCTGGATTTTTTTTTTTTTTTTTTCATTTTCTGATTCAGCTGTGTCAATCCTACCGACATCTTCACAACGTCAAGCTAATTATGAACTTTATTCTTATACCTTGACTGCAATAGTCACCTTTATTGTATCATGAAAGTTTGTAAATGCAGCAATTTGGTTGGATTGTACGTTAGTGAATACAGCCAATCAGAGCTCTCGACACAAAGTCTGTAAACAATAAGTAAAAGTTCCTATAGCAACGGTACAATATGGATATCAACTGTTGCTAAAGTAACATGGTCTATCGAGAGATCTATTCGAGTATATTGGCTGACATACAATCCAATCAAATCACTGTATTCTGTGATACAAGAATAGTGGCTATTGCAGTCAAGGTTTACAGTGAAGTTTACAATACCTTGACTATTATAAATATGCCCTACTCAATACATTGTATATATGGCTGTATATTTATCAGTTTGTATAATATATATTCTTAATTATTGTGTAAACTTGCACCAAATTCTGTTTTTTCTCCCAAAAGTGCACAAGTCAATAAATAATCTAATAATACTGAACCATCTGTTGTATATTTGATAAGTTTAAATATTTTTATATCCCCCAGGTTCGATGAAATCTAACGGAGAAACATGTAATGATGCATGTAAAGGATCTAATCTCAGCTTGCAGCTTTTCATATAACTTTCAGTTTAATAATATACATGTCAGACTTTACAAACACGAACATAAATAAACATAAACAATATCCTGGACTGACAGAAAACACCATTAAACAAAGATATTACAACCATATGCTGTCTTTTAAACATCAAAATATGAAAAAAGTACGGAACTCTCAAACATTTGGCAATTTAAACTGAAAAATAATTTAAGGATTGGTTGATGAACGCAGATGTTCACGTGTTCATTCGAATGAATGGCGAATGAACGCAGAAATCTACATTCAATCCTTAAATAAGATGGCAACACCATAAAACACCCGCTCAACAGCAAGAAAATTGGCTTAAATCTGCCATTTCTCAGAAATGTGTGATGGTAAACTTCATCTGAAAGTATCATTAAATAGATTAATCAATTCCTAATTTAATGATGTAAAATATATGTTTTGTGTTAGTGAGACTGGAGAAGGAGGCTTTAAAGACTATAACAACAAAACGTTACCTTTTTACGGTTTGCGTTATGAGCCTCGTTCTGGATTCAATATGGCGGACACGTGAATAATGACTATTGCACCTTATTTTTTACTCTCATTTACAACAAATCAAAAAAACATAAAAATAATATTTAATCAATATAGATTGACAATAACAATAATATATTTATATATACAAACATACAATCTGTTACACAATCTGAATGTAATTAATAAAGAACCCTGAATGCCTATTGACAACATAATTATTTACTGCAGCCAACAGCAAAGCAGTCATTACCAAGTAACGTCACATAAGTTTAACTTCGTTCAAGTTATATTACATCGACATTTTTTTCCTCACACTCACTGTTCATAAAACACTTATTAGGCCATACAAAATAAATAGTCTGTTTTACAGGCCTTTTTTTTTTCAAAATCGGGGTGAATTTATTATTCATAAGCGCTTTTTTAGATTTTCAATTGGAATAAATTCGAGCAAGCGAAAGCATTTATTATTTATTACCACAAATTTAATGTACATTTAATATTAAGGCAACAATCAGGTATTTTAGGGCCTGTAAAACAGACTATTTATTTTGTAGAGCCTTACATATATAATAATAACATGATGGTTTTCAGGTTCAGTTTTAATATTTCTATATTTTATTATATATTCTATTGTTATTATCTGATACTTGAAAGACTAAACCTTTAAAAATATATACTTTATAAAATAGATATCAAAAATAATTAGCACTTAATAAACATTGAGCACTTCACATGTACCTTGATAATACATGGATTATAATAAATGCATAGGAAAAAAAACCTGACATTATCATTTAACAATTAAACGTTAGTCTCACTAGCATTATTGGTGTGTAATGCAATTGATCATGTGACAAACAGAATAAGTCATTTAAGTGTGTTTGTGACGTGATCAATTGGGTTTACACACCAATAAAGTTATTGAGACCACAGTTTAATTCTTTTATTTATTTTCAAATACTTATTCTAATACAATTTCCACTGTTTTTATATGATCGGTTCCTTGCATCATTGTTGTACTTTGACGTCATAGTATCACGTGACAAACTACAGATTATAGAAAAATAAACACCAGTTTACGTAACTGGTTCATTGAAGGAAGTGATAGTAGAAATGTTAATATTATAATTTGAGAAGAAATTTATCTTTATAAATAGATCACATGATATAAAAAAAGATTTCCAAAGAAACATTGAAAATGGTTGAATATATACAGATATAGTTTGCATACTAGAAAATAATTCATATTATCTTTGAATATTGTAAGTTATGATGGAACTCATCTTAATGTATATATCACAGCTTCTATTTCAAAATAACAACAATATGGTCAAATATACCAGTGTGATATGAGATAAAGTAAATTTAACTGCCAATAACCAACAATATATCCATCAAAATTATAAAATACTGGTTAATCAATAATATTAGTCTCCATTAACTTGGCTGAGGTAAACACCTGAAACCTTAATTAACAAGTGGTTGCCTAGCAGCAAGATACACCCACTTCCCTGATATCAAGGGCAGTCTTTAATCTGTGTAAAATCATACCAAAAATCTAAAGTGTCAAAGATATTGTTGATTTAAATACAAAATTCATAAACTTTCACCTCTATTGCGTTCACAAGCCACAAAACCTTCAAATGAGGCAGTCAAAAACCAATCATTACAATCTATATCACAACCTTTGGTCCATTTTGCTCAAGATTTGGTGTGAGAATGAGTGGATTTGAAAATGATTATTGGAGAAACTGAGATGAAACAGAAACCAAGATCAAGAGTTCTGGAGATTGTAAGAATTCTCAACATGGCCGCTTCCACAACATTTACTCCAGGGTTCATCGAATAACGTCTCAATCTCCTCCAGTTGTTTCCCTTTAGTTTCTGGTAACACAGAGAAGAAAAACGCGAGAGCCAGTAGACAGATTCCAACAAATAACCAGTACGTTCCTGGAAGACAGATTGAAAATAAAGCTATACAGTCATAGAAAATTTGTAAAAATGCTGACTAGTTACCTTAATGCTGGGGGCAATTATAAATTAGTTCACATCGACGACAATTTATTATGGCACGTACATAAGTTTCGACAGTCGTCACATTTCTAAACTCTATTTAAATTCTTATAGGCAATAATTACCAATTGATATTGGGGTTTTTGTAAACAATATTTCATTCATAAACAAATGAAATGAAGTTGGGAACAGGATTTCGCCTATATTACCGGCACTCCTCTATCATTTGATAACGAAAGATTGATAACACCCCACTCACCATACTTGGTAAGAGTTTCTGTAAGTGTTAAAAATGTCATGGAAACAATAAGATTACTCAGCCAGTTAGTAGCAGCAGAGAGAGAATTCCCCGTACTTCTAGCCCAGAGTGGGTATATCTCAGAATTATACGTCCAGGGCATGGGTCCCATACCTGGAAAATAAATTATAAAACTGCTCAGGTAATAAAAAAAGTTGTTTGAATGTAATTGTATTTGTTTTTCCTGCCTAATAGATCTCAAATGTAATTTCTCATTCTAGTTATGTTTGAAATTTTAGGTTTTTCTTTCTCCTCAAAAATGGAAATTTACAAGTATAAAACTTTTTGTATCGACAGAAGATCAATACCTACCAGGCGCGAAAAACATAAGATAGAACACGAGTCCAACAATAATAATCCAGGAGTACGATGTCGGACAGTATTCATACGCCCAAACCAAATCACCACTCAGATTCGTTTTATTACACTGACCATGTAAGGAATGTGTGCTGTCTGTGGTCGAGGTTGCTAGGCAACTACCATTGTAGGAATCGTTAGCAGACGTTGTAAAACAATAACCACAACTGGTGTCTTTGATACAACTCTCACAAAATCTACAACAAAATGAATAAGTGAGGCAAGGTAAGAAATGGCCATGCGAGTCCAATTGATTTGCTGATACTTCAAAATTCTTATATACAAAAGTTATAAAACTCCATAAAGCTTGTCTTATGAGAGTTTGTTTCTGTTGTATTCAAAAAGTACTATCAGCCATGTTGATAGAGTTGTTATTCTTGAAGTCAGCTAAACCAAGAGATTAACTGCACGGATATTTTAACTGCAAAAGTATGGTAGTATCATCCTAAAAGTTGATAGGATAAATTCTGATGTGTCAGCTAGTTTTTAACCTCTAATACCAAGATTTAACCTAAAGTAAACTGACCTGTAAGAACTACAAGTAGAGTTATCTAACCCTGATGTGTTAAATTGTGTGATAGGCAGAGAAACTAAAAAGAAAAACATGACCTCTGGGGGTAAGCATGATATTTCCCCTCCCCTCTCTGAGCATACATCTTTAGTTTACATGTATTTTAGAACTTACCTGTAAGAACTACAAGTAGAGTTATCTAACCCTGATGTTGTATTATATTGTGTGATGGGTGGAGAATGGACGGCTGCCAGTTGAAATCCCACGGCCAGGATGATTAAACTTATTGTTACTCCTGTAAATAATACAGATCAGATAAACATCAGCTATATGGACTGCATTTTCCTTTAACAGTGGTATATTATCAATCACCAATAACATAGACATTTAACAACAATAAAATATTTCTTAGGTTCTGTTTTAATATTTCTAAATATTTAGCTATGTAAATGCAGTCAACTAAAAGTCTAGTCAGACATGACTGGTTGCTATAGTCAAATCACCATCCCAAGACTTACCTACAAGACTAGTAAGAATTAGGGGTTTACGACCGAATCTATCAACAGCTAATATACCAACGATAGTAAAAATAAAGTTAATACTAGCTGTTAGAGCAGCCAACCAGATAGCTTCATGTTCATCCGATATTCCTCCCATTTTAATAATGGTGGCTGAATAATACCTGAAAAATATAAAACAAAAAAAATAAGCAATAACTACTACTCCCAGAATATTCACCAACCTCCTTCCTTAAATTTTCACACTTTTATATTTTCATCAAATATCCCTTCCATTGTAATTATTATCGCAGACTAATACCTAAAAAATATTGATTTTAGACTAAAATTTATAGCCTTATATCATAGATAGAACTAACAAGTAGAGTTCAAATTAGAATGAGAATTTTGATCAGCAGTCGGTTTTATTAATTTTTAATTAATATTTTGATTTCTATTTCATAACATGGAGCCGCTGTGGCTCTCTCTAACGTGAACGGTCCAGGGTTCAATCCCGGCATAGGTCGAGATAATACCTTCAGATTTTTCAACCTGGTTTCCCTCTGTCAGTGATGCAGGCCTAGGTTAGAGGAGATGACATGGAAAAAGTGTCTTGTCGTTCAGATGGGACCGAGGCCCTGTGTGCTACAGGCTGTGCACGTTAAAGATCCCTCGACAGTTGGGAATCAAGCAGGCTAATACCTCTGTTCTGGAAAAATTTCCCTCATTGCACCCTGCAAGGCGTTGCCCGTTTTCATTAGCCCAAATGGTGAAGAAAAGTAGGACGTAAAACTCCTTGAGATCAAATTTCCCAGGTTGTTGAAAAATGTCCGATTGACAAACAAAATAAATCAACAGCCCTGTTTCTTTGTGGTCTAATTAATAACAATCTAATATTGTAACAGCTGGTGATTATACCAATCTATAAATGTAAATTTCTCGTTTAATTGCAAGCGACATGTTTAAATTCCTACATGTACCTGTATTTCAGTTCAATAATTTTCAACAGAAGGTTAAAGGGGTTGAAAAAGGTTTTCTAAAAATTTTATTTTTAAACCGGGGACATAGACCGAAACATCTATTTGAAAGTTGATACTAACTAAAGAAAAGTTTCCATGAAGTCTAACACTAATTTACAGTCATCGTAAAGGTAATTTAATATTATGATAGAAAAAACTCATCTTTGGAGGTATGGAAAATCCCTTAAAACAGGGCCTCCTTTTTCTGACTCTACTCCAGCCGATAACTAGCATAGAGGCAGATGATTCGACTAACAATTCGCACAGTTCAAATTTTCAATCAGAGAACTGTGGTTCTTGCAGTTCCTGCAATTCCACTAAAACTGAGTATATGTAAATTGTAATATGACGGCACTATCTTATCCTGTCAATACCAGCTGCTATAAATAGATACCAAGGGCCCATCTATTGAGTGATGAGGGGTGTGATTTAAATGACACTGATGTTGGATATTAGCTTAAATAAGCTTCAAATGCAGATAATTCTGTTCACACAATCACATGGAAGCTAAAAAATTCCCGTTTCTGAGGCCAAAGTATGATTAATCTAACTGGTGAATCCTTCCCATTTCTACGCTTGGTTTGATGTAAATTTTCATGCATCAGTTGATTTTACAGCATATTGTTATCAGCCATGTCATAATTTTAATTAATATATTGAAGTAGAAGTAAATAATGTAATAAAGTAGAAATAAATTAATGCTGATTTTGTTAGAATTATCTAAAGTGGTGGTTTTAAACCTGTTTTTGTAGGTGGGGACCCAAATCGTATTTTGCATGACAAGGACATTTTTCATTGAGTTTTCAAGGGAGATAAAGCATATTTAATCTACAAGTCCCTTACGACTTGTTTACAACTGAAACAACCCCCACAAGTTTTGCCCGATTATATTTGATATTTTTATCTACGGATGTTTTCTTTATCGATTCTTCAACCGAGAAATAAAAATTCTAAGAAATTGTCACAATAACTGAATTATTTGAATAAATCATTTAATATTACCATCACCAACACAGCATGGTCTTGGGTATTGGTTGTATGGAGTACAGAATGCTGCAAATAATTCTCTGAGTACTTCTAGACATTGTTAATTTAGGCCGTGTATAGTGTAGTCATATGAGATGTTATATATATTTCAGTTGGATAGGTTTTTTCAAAGCCTGTAACACATCAAATGTCCCCAAAGACAAATGTAAATGTCCCCACTTATGAACGCGTCCCTGTGGTTGAGACATTTCAACCTTTTACCTACCTCCAGCCATCATTGGTATAACTGAATCCACCATCAATAACACTGGCTATAAACTGACCTCCAGTTATAAACAGAGTGTTGACCGTCACCATCTTCCCCCGGATATGACTCGGAGAACATTCTGCTATATACATTGGTATTGTCATTGACGCTAGACCTACAAATACGACAAGATATTCTTAATATAGAGAACTTAAAGAGGTTTTCAAGGTTTTGTATTGTCATATAGGCCTAGGCTAACCCTAAAAATACAACAAAATACTCTCAAAATTAATATTTAAAGAGGATTTTTGGGCTTTGTATGTGTATATTGATAGTGATAAAAGTTAACCCTGAAACAAATAATGCAACAAAGTACGAGACAATTATAGAGGTTTTCTCGCCTGAAACATCTTCGCTCACAAAAAACAACAAGTGCCTTTTTAGATTTATGATAGTACCAGCAATATCTTTGTACTGGTGTTAATTTACATCCATTCTCAGCTCTCCGTTAACGAAGAAAGAACTGGTTTGGTCACTCTGAGTAAAGCAAATCCCCCCAAGCCATGACTCAGACATGAGATATGACAAGCAAATCCAGAAATTGATGTCATCTTACCTATTCCTAACCCAAGAATGGCTCTGCCAACAACCAACATGGCAATATTTTCCGCTGCCCCGAGAACCACAGCACCGACTGTAAACAGCGAACTAGCTAGCACGATCGTTGCTTTACGTCCAAATTTATTGTTGAAAAAACCTCCAAATATGGCACCAATAAATGCTGTCGCTATGGCGATACTAACAATAATTTCTTGCCATAATGACGTCAGTTTAAATCGTTTAGTGAGAAGTAACATTGCACCAGACACCACACCTGTGTCATATCCGAACAGAAACCCTCCGATTGCTGCAAAAAATGACAAAATCCACACAAACCATGTCGACTGTTCTTTCATATTTTTGTTATTTAGAGTATGAACTGTCATATTTGATACTGAGCCACCACCATCATGTGTCGAAGAATTCGAAGCACCAGTCTCATCCATTAGTCTTGTATCTTCGTCCTCTGAAATTTCATTATCTATCGACAAACGTTTGTATCCATATCTGGGCCTTGTATTTTGACTCATTTCCATTTAGGCCTAAAGGTCAAACTGCTATCTACCTTACAATGTTATCACCAACTATTAGAGAGTGTTTTTATTCAACTGTCAACATAATCAGATAACTTTCTAACAAAGCACAGTCAAATTATCAGCTGGGCTATTAACCTAGTCAATAGCAACTCAGTTGAATAACGAAGGGATTCCCCTGAAGGAATTCCACTGTAAATACTAAAACGTCATCATTCGATCATACACCGAAAAATATTCAGGTAACGAATCAGTCAAATTGGACTAAGAACAAAACGACCTGATAAAGATATACAAATGTTCATATTGTTTTCTGTCTATGATAACGATTAACCGCTTCTAGCCCACCTTAATAGTTGACTGTTTGGGTTTAGCAGAGGACAATACACTTTGTTGTGGGACATCCGTCACAAATATTATTGTAGTTTTTGGACAAAAACTTTGTAATGGCGTAATCAATTAATTAAAGTTTGTAATAGGAACAGGGTTAATCAGTTTAATTAAAAAAAAACTTTTGATGGAACTGGAGACGTGACATGACTGGTGTAGGGAGAAAATAATAGTATGACTGAAATACACAAATATTCATCTTTCCAAATATATCTGGATTTGACATGTCTACATTGTATATTGAGAACTATTTTAACATCAGTATTTCTATATCACTCTACAATTGATGTATTGAGTACTATTTGAACAGTGGTATTTCTATATCACTCTACAATTGATATATTGAGCACTATTTTAACACTGGTATTTCTATATCGCTCTACAATTGATGTATTGAGCACTATTTTAACAGTGGTATTTCTATATCACTCTACAATTGATGTATTGAGTACTATTTTAACAGTGGTATTTCTATATTACTCTACAATAAATGTATTGAGTACTATTTTAACAGTGGTATTTCTATATCACTCTATAATTGATGTATTGGATACTATTTTAACAGTGGTATTTCTATATTACTCTACAATTGATGTATTGAGTACTATTTTAACAGTGGTATTTCTATAGCACTCTACAATTGATGTATTGAGTACTATTTTAACAGTGGTATTTCTATATCACTCTACAATTGATGTATTGAGCACTATTTTAACAGTAGTATTTCTATATCACTCTACAATTGATGTATTGAGTACTATTTTAACAGTAGTATTTCTATATCGCTCTACAATTGATGTATTTAGAACTATTTTACGGCAGTATTTCTATATCGCTCTACAATTGATGAATTGAGCACTATTTTAACAGTGGTATTTCTATATCGCTCTACAATTGATGTATAGAGCACTATTTTAACAGTGATATTTCCAAAACTTGTTATGTGTCTCGGAGATACTGATAACATCAATTTACAACATTTCAATTTTCAATCAGACGTTTGTTGCTCCTGCAATTTCACTCAGACTAAGCGTTTTATGACGTCACTATTGCAAAATATAATTATACGATCGAGGCCCTTATTAGTAAAACGTTTAGATTTAGCGGAATTGCAGGAACCACATACGTTTGTCTGAAAATTGATTATCAGCTTCATTCAGCTTGTTTTTTTTTTTTCATTTTGATATGCTTCCCTTTTTCGTTTGGATCTAGAATGAACCTGGGTTAGGGCCTACCCATTAGCAGTTATTGGCAAATAGTCTAGAACCTGAGCTTGTTTGCGTAACACACTTACGTCAAATTTTCTCTAGGATACAATAATATCTCTGACTTCATTTCATTTGATTTCATATAATATTTATATATACCCAATCAATTGAGGTATTTACTAGAATAATATAGGCCGATACAACTAACAAGTGGTCGAGTTGTCCTCATCAGTTTGAAAAAGACGAAGTAAGGAGAATGAACTTCTGATGAACGTCACGTGATGAATGTTTATTTCCTGAAAGTGAAGTGAATTACACTCGGAAGTTGTTTTAGTAATTATGGAGTGTTAATTATAGAATAAAACTTGGTCAATTGGTTATAAATATGAATTAATGGTCGCTTTTCAAAATGGGAAAGGAAACCGAATTGATAAAGGCCGTGAAGGAGGCTGACATTACTAAATTACAAGTAGGTACACGAGAGTAAAGTAGCCAACTGTACTCGTATCGTAACAGCTGTAGGTTATATGCAACATTCATTTTCAATTTTTCCACCTTGTGATTTTCATGAATAAGTTATAAAAATTATATTGTATGAGGAAGGGGAATAAAATTACAAAGCTGTATTTATTGGGTATTGAAGGGTTGATAATATATTGAGAAAATGGCTAAATAAATTTGAAGTTTGTTGGAGAAACCTAACCTAAGGCTAAGTTTTGTTTTGATTTTGGGGTGTAAGTTGGCACTCCCTTCCTGTTCTGTTCTGAGTCATTTAGATCAACAGACTTTCTTGGCATCATTTCTGCTGAGTGGAATTGGTAATTGTTAAATGATGTATTCAAAGATCCGGGCACAGGAGTAGCCCATAATTTATTTTAATTTCCTTTCAAAGTTGGCACTCCTTTTGTGTAATATTACTGAGTAATAATACTGCATCCCAATTTAAAAAATCAAATCAAAGTTATTTGAAATTTTGAGGTGCAATATCAAGAACACACTGTCAAGAGATCGCATTTCATTTCCTAGTTCGGCCTGGCCTGGTTTGGTTTTGTTTGTATCATTTTAAAAGTGAAAGAGTTACCTGTGGACGCCCCTGGAGAATTTTGTTGCCCCTGTCTAGCCCCTCATCTAATGTATCTTAGAAAAACCACCTGCTAAATGTACGTAATATGGATAGACTTGAGTTATTTGGGTGACTGTGACATTAGAGTTATATACTATCAAACATTGTAATAACATGACATAAAAGTAGACAGTCTGGTTTTGAATTGAAAGACATCTTGCCTTGTTTGATTTTCATATGATTACATATATATATACATGTATAAAGTGTATTTAGGTTGCATCTCAAATGAATTGCTGAATTACTACCCAGGACTGTTGATTCAACTATATCAACCAGTCATGTCTGATAGAAGCTCTGCAATGTCTGATTGACATTTTAGACTCTAGGACATCTTATTAAAAAGAGCATTGCTTGTTCACTATAAACAGTATTTTTGATTTGTAAGTTGTAAGCAATTGGGCCAAGATTTCACTGAACACAATTTAAAGAAATAACTCAACAGATCATGGATGACAAGTGTAGTTACCTGCAGAAAAAACACAAAACATACAGCCAAATCTGCAATTTATTTTTTCATTATTTCCAGAAATTATTACATTCTGAGCGAAGATCATCGTTAAAAAGAAACAGTGGCACGAAGATTATTGATGTGAACTGTATTGATAAAGAAACTGGGTACACCCCTTTAATTATCGCAACTCTAGCTGGTAGGTTTTTTAATGAGGAGCCTGGCAATAACAGTGCTTTTACTGGATTTATTGTTATTGTTCTGGTAATTTTCTGCTTTGATCAGAAATATTTACAATAATTCAAGTTCTAAATCTTGATTTGTCAACCCCGAAAAATCCTTTCATAATTATGATGATTGTTTTACATTGCCATATTGTTATGTATGGGGTATTGGAGAAAGTAAGCTATCTATTTTAAAGAAGAATTCCTAGGAAGAAAAGGTGTTTATTTATATCTTGATATTTTATACAATGTTTATGATATTAATGAGAGAGTATGCCATAAATTTGAATAAGCTTATCACTGACATTATATTTATCTGAAATGGCTATTTTGAGCTATGATAATTAATGATATATTGATACTTCACTTTGCATTGACAATTTACAGGAAACAAGAAGTTAGCAGAATTTTTGATACAGAATGGTGCCAGTGTTAATGTCTCAGATGTTAAAGGGTAAGTCTTGTAAATTGATCATCTAACTAATCCAGTGCTGAAATTGATATAGTTTTTTGGACATTTTTTTAGTAAATGCTTATGATATTAAAGATGGGTTTCCTTGTTTTTTAGTGACAAAAATTAAGCACAATATTTGGTGTTTCTAATGAATTATCATGTATTTGAATCATATCATTATATTCTTATTGCTTATAATTAAGAGTTTTTACCAATCATAAATGTCCATGTATGTACAGTCTGGATAAACAAAAAAAGAGTTTTTGACCTTTCTTGATGGGTCACTCATTGGAATTTTGCTGGTAATTCTCTTCTAATTTAGCTAATTATGAATCAATTATGGACATGTGAGACAAAATGGTATTTTTCCAAGTCATTAGAACACTTCTACTTTCTATTCATTTAAGCCTTATTAGCATTTTCATTTTAATAAATGAAAATAAGAGAACCCATCTTTAAATGTTTTTGACTAAATGAATGGAAATGATGCTTTGTGTTTTCTGGTCTTATTTTGAATTTATGATTTGATATTATTTTAGGAACTCCCCTCTACATCTGGCAGTATTTTCAGGAAATGTGGAGTTGATTGATCTTTTCTTTCAAAAAATGGACAAGGTAGGAACCAGGCTTTGTTTTCATTTTGTATATAGAGTTATAATTGTAGTCTGATATCATGATGTATTGAAATGAATCTCAATAAAAGCACTGGCCAAGGGGTTACAGAGCAATAGATAAGCTTGTTAATTATGTGTAAATTAAGATTTAGTAAGTTATTAGTCAAATATAAACTTATACACAATGTAGTCTAATATCTTGATGTTGGTAATGAACTGGTATTAATATATTTGTAAGTTGAATTATATAGGTCAATTGTCAGACTGTTGTCTGATTGACAACAACATGTTTTTTTAGGTTCTGTTTTAATATTTCTAAGAATAATACATGTATTATTTCAGGGAGTGAATCAGAATGAAGATGGTAATACACCGTTACACATCGCCTGTCAATCAGATCTAGAAAATAAATTACTTGTTATTAACAGATTATTACATGTAAGTTTTTATAACGTGGGCATCATTTGCCATCTGTCCATTCATCAGTTCACAATTGACTGATTTATATTATAATAATTAAAAATAAATAGAATAATTGA